CCCCCTCCCCCCTTTCCACCATCCTCCCCCTCTGTCACATTGCTACCACCTCCGACAGGGCTGATTGTGATCATCATCCTGCCCTAATGGCCCCAGCTAGGGACAGTCCCACTACCTTCTTCCACCGACCTTGAATATAGCTGTATTTAGACTGAAAGATGCCCCAAATACAGCTATAACGACCGTACGTTGTACTCGGCGGAAGAAGGTACTAGCTTTCCCCCCTGCTCTCACCAAGCATACAGTTTCCTCCCCCCCAGTATGCCTAAGCCAACCCTATGCCCTTGTCTGCCTCCGCTGGGAGATGATGCTAATCCCTACATCTCCTTCGACTATCGCCTCTCAAAGCTTCAAAAGCTTAACAAGCGAGGTACCGTCAATAGTTGTTTGATTGGGCCCCGGAGTCACCTTTTGTGATAATTTATATGCGATTATCCAGATTCCGACGTTTCCCTCCGTGAGTGCCTTGCAGCTTTCTTTCTTTCTGTCTTTCTTTCCGTATCATTAATGAAACAAGTGAGATATGCATTGCGTAGAGTCTCTGAGGATCCCAAACAGCTCGGTGGTCGCTGGCTAGGGCGAGCGGCCGTACTTTTTTGTGGTTTCCTGCTGAATGAACCGCCCCAGACTACGTAGTGCAGGCCCCTTAATCTGCCATTACTCTCTATAGGGTGTTCCCCTCCCACCATGTGAAGCCCTTGCAGAGTAAAGCTCTCCTTGTTGCCAAACCCGCCCTCCCATCTGAAATACTCATTAGCACTGAAGGAGGAAAGAGAAAATTAGATACTGGGAGGAAACAAAGAAGTAGATGCCTAGGGATTTTTTTAAATTTGAAGAAGGAATATGGATAGGAAGCAGCCCTAAAGATGATTGATGATCATCGTGCAAATGAACGTACTGTCATTATTGCTGTATCTGGACGGAAAGTTGTAACCTGCTGATGCAGGAGCGTGAGGCCTGGTAGAGAGATCTGGGGATGCTTTGGGGTGGGCATCCCAAGGGACAGCAAGGTTTGCTGCTGGGACGACACTGGTCAGAGCTGGGGCGAGTTGTGTTGCCCTGTAACCCAGCAGGGTGGGAGCGTGAGGTCTGGAAGAGCTCAGCAGGGAGTAAGACTGTGTTGGAAAGTCTTAGAAGGGCTTGTTAGGGATCCTGAGGGTTGTGAGCATTCGTAGGACCTCTGTGGCAGCCTATTGCATGAGTAGTTCCTTAATAGGTCATTAGATATTCACAGACTGATCTCAGCCGAAGCCGGGTAATGGCCCCGGTATCTCAAGTGATCTCAAATTTTCTCAATGATCTGTATAATTCGATATGGGACGCTGGGCCCGGTTCCCAGCACGTGCTGCTCCCCACGAATAGACTGGAGCATTTGTTTGGGAAAAAACAAAAAAAACGGTTGCCCCAAATACAGACATAATGACTGTACGTTCTATTCCGGGGAAGAACGTACGGTCATTATTGCTGTATCTGGACGGAAGGTTGATCCAACTACACACATAATGATCGTACGTTCTATTCGGGGGAAGAAGGTAGCCAAAGTTTTGTTGAAAATGGTAAGGAGCGGCACCCACTAATGTGGATGACGGCCGAAAAAAACGCCAAATGAAGGTCAGTGCTGTGGAATCTGTGAGGATGACTACTAGCGCGTTGATCCGAATGACCAGTTACACCACAATGATGACGGCGAACAAAAAATGATAGAGGACCTGAACAAAAGCGAGACGCACCCTGGTGAAGATGGCTGGGGATGAATCTGATTATCATTCAAATTTACAGCACCCTGTCGAGTGCTTTGACAACAATGTGCCCACAGCGCTGTGGAAAGCGAAAGGGGGGAGGGGGGGCGCGGGCTTCACCTGCTGGAAATCGGGTCCAGCATCCCATTTGAACATTATGATGATGTAAAGAAGGGGAAGTACGTTGACCTCACAGCTTACGTTCTTCACACACCAATTGATAGAGGCCCTGGGGGAATATGGTGGCCCGAACACTTGTACTCAATTCATCATGGCTTTATTAAACCACCAGTACTTGGCCCAGCTATCGGCCGCGGCGCTTTCCCGTTAACGCGCCGCGCCTTTAGGGCTTCGGGGTACCGGAACACAATGGCTGGAAGCGCCAGCCAAAACATTTCTGAAACGGTACCCCGGCGCTTCGGCGAAAATCGGCGCGCAGGGGCATTCCAGGCTCGGCATCGATAGCTGGGCCAAGTACTGGTGGTTTAAGTTTATTTCCAAGAATATCCCACTGATTGGCACCTCCATCACCCTCCTTCCTTCATCCCCCACCTCCCCCCCCTCCCCCCCCTCCCCTCCCCTCCCCTCTGTCCCCCTTTCCCCCCACAAGATCTGTTGTTAAATTGAAATCTGGCCAAAACACCAACCACCCTGGCATATCAGACTCCACTGCTTGGGAGGGAGGATGCAGGTCGTCAATCCTGACCCCCAGTCCTGCTGAGCATGACTGTTTTTTTTTGGTTTTTTTTTGCATGTGTGTGTGTGTGTGTGTGTGTGTGTGTGTGTGTGTGTGTGTGTGTGTGAAATAAACCAGGCTTGCGTTCATTTGTGGCTTAGCTGCCCTCTACGAAAGGAGCATATGGGGTGTTGCCCTCTCTTACCTCCTCCTCCTTCTTTTCATGCGTCCGAAACACCGCTTTTGGAACCTGGAATCAGGACATGGAAGTGTAACAGTGTGTGATTAAAAACGACATAATCCTGAATAATGTTGTTAGTACCGTAAATAGTAAATAGTAAATAGTAAATAGTACAACATGTTAGTTAGTATTTAGGCTACCAACCGGGCGGCTCGGCCGTGGAAAGACCAAAGAAGGGGCCAGCAAAAAAAAAAAAAAAAAAAAAAAAGAAACAAAGCCTGAAAACAAACTAACTATGTTATGCAGAAAAAGAAACTGAACAACTTTTCCCTCAGAGTCACATTGAAATTCTTTACCAAATTTCAAATAAAAAATACACTTTTTTATTACAATGTGTTTTTTTTTTTTGGCCCGGCCTGGCAAGTGATCCCAGGCCACTCTGGTAGCCTAGGTACTATTTAGTATTTAAATATAAAAACTATTAAGAAGTTGAGTACAAAAGACTTTAGAGAAAAA